TCATACGCAAGTAAAATTTTGCTGAAGAGAATTCTAAAACAATTGTAGCAGCATGTCGATAAAGAGTTTCGAGTCAGGCCAGATTCAGCAGAGGACATGGAATGCTGATGTCAGATGGGTCTTGTCTGAAGCAGGAATATCCGAAGGATGCTTACTTGTATTTTATTCACCAGGCAAAGACTTGACTGTGTGGATCTTACCAAACTTTGGATAATACTGAGAAGAATGGGAATCCGGAATACTTCATTGTGCTCACGTGGAAACCATGCAGACCACGAGGTAGTCCTTTGAACAGACAAGGGACGACTGCATAGTTTACAATCAGGAGAGGTGTGCATCAGTTATCTTTTTACCATACTTGTTCAACATGTAGGCCGAGCCAGTAATTTGATAAGCTAAGCTATGGGAAGAAGAGGATGGTATCAGGATTAGAGGAAAGACCATTATTAGCCTTTTGCCTACAGGTGACACACTCAGCTTTGCTGAAAGCCAAGGACTTGAAGCAGTTACTGAAGAGCCAAGCCGACCACAACCTTCAGGATAGATATAATCCAGTACTTAGGAAACAAAAATCCTCACAACTGGACCAGCAGACAACATCATGATAAGTGGAGACAAGATCGAAGCTGTCAAGGATGTACTTTCACTTGGTTCCAGAAGCATTGTTCATGGAAGCAGCAGTCAGAAAGCCAGAGGACATGTTTTAGTGGGCAAATCCATGGCACTGGACCTCGTTGAAGTGTTGCAGAGCAAGGGTGTCACTTTGAGGTGCACCTGGTCCAAGTCCTGGCATTTCCAATGGCCACACATGCACAGGACAGCTGTCAACGAACAAAGAAGACCAGGGAAGAATCAAAACCCTTGACCTGTGGCGTTGCTGAAGATTATTCAAAGTACTTGAACGCCGAAAGAGCCAAGAGGTCTGTCTTGGGAGAAGTACAGGCACGCTGCTCCTCAGAGGCAGGGTGGCGAGCTTCGTCTCCTATACTTTGGACGTGTCGGCAGGAGAGATGAGTCCCTGGAGAAGGACAGCATGCTTGGTAAAGTACCACCAGAATGCTCTGGAGCAATGTGGACCTTGAGGCTTTGTCTCACTTCCTTTGAGCATGTTCTTAGGAGAATCTCATCCTTGGCGAAAGACGCTCAATGAGATGGGCTTACAGTGGCTGTAACGATGGGCTTACACAGAAATAGGGAGGATGGCGCAGGGCCATCGGGCAGCATTTAGTTCTTTGTACTTGGGTTGGTGTGGGTCTGAGCTGACGTAGTGGCTCCTGTCGACATCTTCGACTCATTTCTGTAACACACCAAGAGCCGCCGCCAGCCGAGACGTATTTTCCAAGACAGCTGTCCCATGTCTGTAGAACCCTTTGCATGTCCAGTAGTTGACAGCTGTCCGCAGACAAGCCGGGGGAGTGTGGAGCCCTGGTGGTGACTGACTGAGCTGTCGAAACAGAGCCCGGCATTCCACGCCCTCAAGGAAACCCATGCTGTTGATTCCAACTCGTAGACACTATGGGACAGACTAGAACTACCCTTTGGGGTTTCCAAGACTGTCAATCTTTATGGGAAAGCCTCCTTTTCCTTCCAATGTATGGGTGGTGGGTTCAAACTGCTGAGGTTGGCAGCTAGCAGCCCAACACGTAGCCCACTGCGCCACCAGGGCCCCTTGGCTTCCACAAGAGGGGTATTTATGCCCCCTCATGTGAACGGCCAGGCCTGGGAGCTGGCTCTGTCCTCAGCATGCTGTGGCTTTTCCCCCCGGGGTGTGGCTGCTCCACCTCCCACCTGCTGGTCTGCCTTAGCCGGAGGAAGGAGGAAGATGAGGACAGAAGCCATTCTTTAAGAGGGTTAGCCGGTGGGCGCGGTTCCTATCCTCATTCTTTGGCTGGGTCCTGCAAATGTTGCCTCTAGCTGGGTGGCCGTGTCCCCGCTAACAGGTGACATGTGGCAGCCTGGACCCTTTGGACTTCTAGGAAAGTACCGCGAGGCCCCCAGAGGTGTCTCCTGCAGTTCTGCGGCGTGGCTTGCCTGGGAGAAGCTGGTTGAAGCAGAGATGGTAGCCGGGAGCATGATGGCCCTGCTAGATGGGGGCTCACTGCACCCAGGACTGAGCACACTGCGGACAGGTGGCCCTGGGCCACCCGACTGCTTCACAGGACTTCCTGCCTCCGCCCAACCAGGATAGCCTTCCTGAAGTGGGCCATTACTGCCCCCCCCAATACACAAACACACACACACTTGGGGGCGCTGTGACAACTCGGCAGATAGCTATACCCTCTAGCGCAGTGGTTCTCAACCTTCCCAATGCCGTGATCCTTTCATACAGTTCATGTGGTGGTGACCCCCCAACCATGAGATTATTTTCGTTGCTATTTCATAACTGTAATTTTGCTACTGTTATGAATCAGGCGACCCCGTGAAAGGGTTGTTCAACCCCCAAAGGGGTCGTGACCCACAGCCTGAGAACCACTGCTTTAGTGGGTTGTGAGCTATAGTACAAAAGTTTCTAATTGCCAAGGGGTGTGCTATTTCCCTTCCACCTCCCCGCCTCCCCATCCTCCCGAAACAGGGATCATAGATCCAGTCAGTTTGGGAACATACTGTCTAGAACACACACACAGGGCAAGAGCTGACCTGGGAGATGGCTTAGGGAGTGAGAGTACAGGAGCCCATTGGAGACAAAATGAGAAGGGCCCCACCTAAGATTGGCTTTGGACATTGGCTCTCTTTATGGAAAGGTCAAGTGGCTGGGCATGGTGGTTAAGGACCCAAAGGAAGACAAAGCCCTGGGTCTGGGGCCTGACCTACCAGCTGCCCAGTCATGTGGTCTCACAACCTCTCTTGGGCTCTGTAATCTTTGCCCACCTGCATCTCAAAGTAGTTACTAAACTTCCAACACAGCCCATCCCGGGGTTACTCGAGGTGTTGATTCAGAAAACTGCGCTGGATTGACCCCTTTCCACTCTAGTTTCTGAGATATGGTGAGGACCGACAGACGACGTTATCCCAAGACCTTCTGACCCATGGCTGTACAGCGGCCCTGTCGCGCAGAGAACCACCCCATAGGGTATTCAAGGCTGCAATCTCTATGAAACCCCATGCCACATCTTCTCTCCCATCGGCTGGTCTGCCTTAGCCAGAGGGAAGAGCTCTGGTGGGTTCAGACTACTGACCTTTAGGCTCGTGAATACCTAACTGCAGTGCACCAGACCTCCCTGATCACCTACTAGGGACCAGGATTTGGAACACCCTCTTGAAAACATGGTATTGTAGGTAGTACCAGTGAGCCTTGATGGCCCAGTGGGTTGTGTGGGGCTTCGAACTACAAGGGCAGCAGGTTGAACCCGTCAGCTGCTACCCCAGGAAAAGATCAGGCTTTCAGAAACCACAGCGGGCGGTTCCACCCTGTCCTCGGAGGCCACTGAGTGAGAATGGACTCCACAGCAGGAAGGTTGGTCTTTGGTTGGCCAGATGGTCTGCTGAGGTCAGCAGGTGTGCTCACCAGCCGGGCCTCAGGGTCAGGCGGCCCAGGGAAACCTGAAGGTGGCAAGCTAGTTCCCACCACCTAGGTCCGCGTGGGCCTGCACTCCTCTCCCTTCGCTCCCTACTGTCAAGCGAGCTCAGTCCTCCAGCGCTGCTCCAACGGGGTTCCCAAGCGCGCAGCCTAACAAACAAACGTATCTTCTCAGTTTAAGCATCTCAGTCCAAGTTCTGGCTGCCGGCTCTAGGGGCAGGATCTCTGTTGGTTTTGAAGGGTCCTAGTTTTTCTGGCCCCCACCCTGCTCAGTCGCCACCTGGTTTGCTGTCTCTTCTCCATCAGTACCTGCTAGCTAGCATTTTAGATATTTCAAGAGATTTGACTTAAAATTCTGCCTTAAGTGACAACCTATTCCCCAATGGGATCACCACATAATTCCTCACCTGGGCATTACCCTCCATTGACGGGTAGATCAACGCTCGGAGAAACTTGGGCGCTTCCTTGCTTGGACCATCCCAACATGTTCTTAATGTCTACTGCTTCCGTCTCCCAAGGCACCAAACCCAACTCACTGCCATCAAATCAATTCCAATTTGACCCCACATAGGGTTTCTGGGCTGTTCTTTCTGAGCAGACAGCCTCTTCTCCCTTGGAGCAGCTGGTGGGTTTGAACCCCTGACCTTGTGGTTAGCAAGTCACATTTAACCAACAGTGCCACCAGGGCTCCTCACTGAGGGTAAAGTAGCCTTGAATTTATGATCCTTCTGGTTGTGAAGACAGCCAATAGTGCTGGCCCTTAACTGAATATGCTAAGGAATGTTGCAGTGGTCCCTACCCGTCTGCTCGGGAGAGGGCTATTGTAAGTGAACAATCACCTGGCTGTAGTATATGTACAAGGCAGGTCCTGGACAGAGATTTGATAACCTGAAGTGCACGAAGGCCACATGTGCTGGGTGCCACCACTGAAGAAACCTTACCGGGAGGCTTCAGGGTAACGATCACAAGTGTCTTTCGGGTATGGTTCCACCCTGTGGTCACGTCGGTTGCTCTGCAGCCGTGGAGCACATGGGGCAGGAAACCACCCCGAGGCTGGACAGTCTGGGTCCCAGGGAAGGACGCTCAGTCCTTTGAGGAGAGATGGGCCAAGAACGGACGCTGAGAGGTGCCTGGCTCCCTACACCGTTACCCTCCCTCAGGCCCTGAGCCAAAGAATAAGGTAGGATGCATTCAGCGTGCTACAGGGCCTGGGATATGATGAGGGTTCAGTAGATGTTCTTCCTACCAGACACAAGTGCTCACAAACGGTCAAGAATCTACACAAATCACATTCTCCAGCCAAAAGTGTTTAAACAAAAATGAGCGTTGTTTCTTTTCATTAAAAAAACAAAAACTGCACCTTCAGTCCTTGAAAACTGTACGTGTGATCTAGCTGTCCCCGAGGGGGCTTTGAAGCAGGAAATACTGAAAGAAAGCGGTAAGGCCCACTGGATTTCTATTTTAAAATAACAACAAAATAGGGTCTGTTCAGGAAGCATTTTATTGATGCTCCAGGAAGCATTTCATTGATGCTCCAACTTTGAAGAATTTTCACTGACAGAAAATCAAGACGGTCACACCGTCTCCCGTATAATCCTGCTCAGCTTCTGAATCTTGGACTTGGCCGACATATCCACGTACTTCTCGCCAATGCGGACAATCATTCCACCCATGATTGATGGGTCAGTCTAGGAAGTAAAATCACATGAGATCAAATAAGCAAGTGAAAAGGCGCTGCAGAGTCTACATGTGCTATGCAAAGTAGGGCCGTACGTACGTACGTACATATGTATGTATGTGCGCCCAGACAAGGGCAAAGCGAAAATCATGAATGCAATCATTTAAAAAAGTGAATACAGTTTTAATGAAATATACACTGGGGCAAATTAGTATATAATCAATTAGAACTAAAATTTTCACTAATATCCCCATAGCCATTTCAAGTTTTAAATAGCCCAAGGAAACACATCACAAACAATTAACCTACCTTCACCTCCAATTTCAACACCTGGCCTTGGCTTAGGAAGCTGTTCAGGACCGTTTTCAATTCAGAGAGAGAGGTGTTGTCTAAGGACTAAAAAAAAGCACAAAGCCCCTTCAGGTCACAGACAATAAGTGTTGCAGGCAGGGCAAAGGAGCCAGCAGTCCAGGGCCCATCCCAAGACGGGCCTATATGAACCCTGACCGTGGGGCTCACAGGAACAAAGCTCCCGGCAGCTCAGTCACCACTCAAACGTTGATCTCTGCCCGTTTCAGGACAATTCGCAAGTGATTAGGGGTGACCTCCTGAAACTGATGCCACCTGAGGGTGTGAGCCCACTAGCTGCCCTGAGCAGCCCCGGAGGCCTGGGCCTGCCTTTGCAGGGAAGCTGCAGCTTCACCTGGTTCTGCGTCTCTACACCAGAGCCCGTACCCGGGAGCCCTGCGCTCCACCTAGCACAGCCGATCCCTGCCTCACTGAGAGCCCAAAGGCAGCAGGCACCTGTCATCTGCCCGCCCGCTTTCTTTCTTGCTCAGGTGGGACCATGAAGGATAAGGCCTCTTACCTAGCACAAACCCTACCTCCCTAGCTCTCTACCAAGACTCCAAAAAAATCCCACCAAAATATCTCTATCACCTGGTAGAGCTGACAATGGCTTTCTTTGAGGGTGGTGGTTGGTCAGTTTCTCCACGCTCAAGCATTATTCACGGAGACTCGGGGATCCAAGACCCCAAAGCATCCCATTTCTACAGGTTCCAGGCCCCACACCTGTTGGGAGGCATTTTACGAGCATGGCTTCTTTAACTCTGACAACCATGGAGGCAAGTGGTTAGGATTCCGTGGTACACAGGGAGAGATTTATGGAGGCCAAGAAACTTGTCCAAGGTAGACTTAGCAGCAAGCGAGGATTACTGCTAGGATGTGAAACCCAGCTGATCCATCTCCGCCCTTCATCAAATGTGAGTAATTATGAAAAAAAACAAACAAACCAAAAAACCAGGAAAGTTCCTCACTCAGGAACAAACCCTAAAAGCATTAGCAACAGTAGGTCCAAAAATCCTTAGAAAAACAAGGACCCTTACAAAAATCCTATCTTTGTGTTGTAACCCAGGCAGCCCCTGGATGACAACTGAGAGCCAGTTCAATCTGCACATACCGCAGAACAGTGTAGCAGTTCGGTCAGCTAATGGTTCAAGGTGCCCTGGTGACGCAGCGGACTAAGCATTTGGCTGCTAACTGCAAGGTCAGAGGCCCCAACCCATCAACCACTCCACTGTCAGCTCCCATAGATTTAGCCTTCGGAACCCCATGGAGTAGTTTTATTCTGTACTACAGGGTCCTGAGAGTTGGATTTTGGTTTAGTATATTGTACATCGTGTACCTTTGTACAGCAAAAAACCATTAAAGAAAACACTTTCAGCTACACTAAGCGGTCTTTAACATCACGGAGTAGTAATGACATTTTCACACATATTGCAAGTTGAGTGCTTTTGTTAGCAGGACTCACTGTATATAATTTGAATTTTTAACACACTAGGCTTTATGAGTAAACTGTAGGTGTAAACTGGACATTCGAGACTCCAGTACCTGCCTGTATTTGAAGACAAGAGCTACATCGTGCGGTGACGTCCCCACTGCAGACAGAGAGAAGGTGTCCCAGATTGGCCGAAGGTGAGAACGCCCAGGCAGATATGTGATGGCGGGTACCAACTACTTGATACCAAGTATGCAAAGATACGTGTATTGCACTGTTAAGTTGTCTCTTTGTAAAACAGTCTAACTCCACAAGAGCAGTCTTTTAAATACTGAAGCACTGACCTAGATGTGGCCGGGAACTGGTTGTTCCAGATAAATCTGTCACACTGCCTCCCCAGCAAGAGTTTTGTTCTCATGATGTATTTGTTCCTCCATGGACAAAGTTAGGCTGGGAAGAGAGCACAGAATGAGAACTCCTTTTTCTGGGGAGGCAGTGCAGCTGAGCTCCAGGAACTGAGGCAGCCACCCTGGACCCCACATACCTGTCCTCCACATGGATCTTCCCTGTGAACCACCTCAATGGGCTATCAAGCACCCAGCAGATGGAAAGGCTCCAAAAGGGCCCACTTCAGCAAGTCAAAAAGGTCAGAGACTTCTGCCCCCACCTACTCCCACAGGAGACCAAAGAGTACAGCTAGCATCAACTACTTCAGGTGGCGTTTCCACAATCACTCGGACCTGCTCTAGGGTGCGAACCACTAGTTGTGAACACTTTTTATGGTTCTTAACATTTTCAGCCAGTTTGCAGTTCTTATGAATAACACCATGGACTACAGAAGTTCTACTGCCAAGTGGAGACTCACAGAAGCTGGTATAAGAATGAACAACTCCCTCAAGTGATCAGAAGTCACTCCTCACTTGAGGTGTTTAGTCCCCACCCCCACCCCTGCCAATGAGGCATACTGTGCCACGGCAAACACAGCGGTCAAACCCACACTTACAGACGCAGTGGTGACTGTGCAAGGAACCTCTCCACGGTGGACACTCATGATGGTCGAAAAGGCCGAAATGACTCCCGGGGCGTTGTTCAAGCGACCATTTTCAGCAAGCAAATCTGGGAAAGTGAAGGTCTCTCTCAGTGTCGAGCAGTGACACTCACCCTGCACGCTCCCGCCTGTGTGCTCACGCAAACCACTGTTCTAATGTCCTCTAAGGGTGTGACTGGAGAAGGAACCCAACTTCTTATTCAGACTGGACCCCACCCAGATCTGCAGCAGACCCCAACACCTGGCTATCAACGAACACGCTGCGGCTCTAGTCAGAGATGGTCAAGCAAGCATACGCTCTGCGGACTCATCTTCTGAGTTGGCGATGGGGAGCTCCTAAGCAGGCCACATGTTCCCGCCTGCTCTTACTCCAAGGACGCTCGGATGCTCGGGGCCAGACGGCGGCCTCTGCTCTACAGGTGCAAACAACCGCCGAGGCACTTTCGGCATTCTCAAAGTCTTTAGGCCATGTGTTCCCAAACTGAATTCGTCTACCACCCTTTTTGCAGAAAAAAATGACTCGGCACTGCCCTGGCAATTAGAAACGTTTGCTCCATGGTCCATCCTGGATCGTTTCAGTGTATCCCTCCCCTCAGGGAGTGCTATGGCCCACTGCTTTAGACAGAGCTCCTTAAACTTGATGGGCAAAACCCCCATTCTGGGATCTAGGGCAGATGCAAACTCTGTTCAGCAGGTTGGCTGAGTCCCGAGTTGTCTCTGTCAAACTGCCCAGGTGACGTGGGTCCTCCCGTCAGGGGCCATAGCCCGAGCGGCCCCGTGACAGCGCCCCAGCACTCACTGATCAGGTTGGTGGTGATGGGAGAAAGCCTCTCTTTGGCGGTGATGTCACTCAGGCTTTTCACCTTAATCGAGCGCTTCACATGGGGATTCAGAATTGCAAGAGCCACTTTGGGGTCCTTCAGAAGTTGCTAAAGCACACACAAGAAGGCATTTCTTAAATTTTTTAGAACATCAACAAAATACAAGGGGTACCCAAAAAACCCCAAATGTTCCAAAGCAATGTTTTAAAATTTTTTACAAAACAACCATCTCACCATCAAAGGTGCATGGGGCAAGAGAGACATGCCGTTTTTTGCCCAAAACTGGCACACGGAGATGGTTGTGTGAGCAGGTGCACTGTCTTGTTGCAAAACCAGTCCTCCATCTGCCATATATCAGGCCTTTTTTGGTCACACACTGTTACACTATCTTTACAGAACCTCTAAATAGAAAGCTTGATTAACAGCGTCTCCTGGTAGAACGAACTCCAAATGCACTATGAGTAGACATTTTTGCTTTTTAGGATAGCTTTTGGAAAATGAAACTGTCCAAAGATTCTTCTCCCTCCCACTTCCATGAGTTCCCCATACTAGGCAGACTCTGGTGACGCGCCCCCCAGAGCAGCCCTAACCATGTGCCGGATCGCCCAGCAGGCCTCCTCAGCCATTCCCGTGGGGCAGGGCCTCCTGAGTGTGCTGCTTCATGCGCAGCCTGGCCCTAAGGGGGACACAAAGACGCTGCTGACACTTCTAGCATCACCTCCGGGGGCCAGGAGGCCTGGGGGTGTACACATGACTCCGTGCTAGCTGAAAGGGTGGAGGTTTCAACCCAATTCAAGTGCCTTGGTGACAGGATTGTGACCTGCTTCTGGAAAGTCACAGCATGAGCAGCTCTACGGAGCAGCTCCACAAGCTGCACTGACTAAGACAACGAACAGCAGCAGCAGCAACACGAGTCAAGAGGGAGGGGGATAAAAACTGCGCGTGCTACCACCAAGCCAAGACCACTGTCTGCTGTGTCCTATCAGTACTGCCTGCATTCAGTGACCACGCTAGCCTTTGCCACTGGGCTGCTCCGCGTCAGGTCAGAGTTCCACCGATTTGGGATGGTCCCCACATGGGCCCATCAGTTATATACAACTGCCACTCTTTAATTACTCTGCTAGCACCCCTCCAAGACTCTTGATCGGAATCCTAATGGTACCTTATCTGGGGCAGCAGGTTAACAAGCTACATGTTGCACATGGCAAAAAACAACACATTTTTAAAAAGTGATCTTAATTCCATTTTTCTATAAAGTTTTTGAAATCCCATCTATATTTTGATTTTGCCTGTATTTCTTCCCTTATCTGAAATCTTGGTTCCTAGTACTAATATCCTTATATAAGGGGACTTCAAAAAGTTTGTAGAAGAATGTTAATTGAAAGAGCAATAGAATTTTTCCACAAACTTTTTGGGTCACCTTCAAATGTACCTATTTTAATATGTATACAAGTTTTTAAAAAGCTAACACCAACCCATTACAAGGTTGGGTATATAGCCCACCCCCCAGGAGGACAACAGAAATGTGTGTGAAGGAAGACAATGCACAGGAAATAACAAAAACAATATATAATTGATCAAGGATTCATGAAGATGGGAGCGTGGGGGAGGGAGGGGAAAAAAGAGGTGCTGATACCAAGGGCTCAAGTAGAATGAAAATGTTTTGGAAATGTTGATGGCAACATATGTTCAAGTGTGCTCAATACAATTGAATGATGGATTGCCATCAGATTTGTAAGAGCCCCCCAATAAAATGATTAATAAAAAAATAAATAAAATAGCTAATACCTAATACTTGCCAACATAGTAACAATATGTTCAGAAAGAAGAGCTTAAAACATTCTGTTGGGTTTTTGGGCAGTCTTCTCCCCCTCCAGATGTTACCTCATTAGGGATGCATACTTATGTAAGGTAAGGAAAAACAACTCAAATGCACGTAATGACCAGAAGGCTACTTACTGCTACTCTTAACAACTCCTTTTCCACTTGCTCCAGTTTATTTTGTTTTGATGCAGCAGAATAAAGGGCAGTGGCATAGCGACCTTCAACACCATGGATTTGAACAGGTGGCTTTAGATCAAGGGCGGGGTAGAGAAGGCAAAAGGAAAACCAGTTGAGATGAGATTACACTGCCAGTAGAATAAGATGTTTACAATTCCAAGCATACATAGCCGATCTAAGTATGTTATTACAGAGCTAGCCTGAATGGCGATTCTTGGACACATCACGGATGCTTTCTTGGCCCAGCCACGCCCTCTCTGAGCCTCCAACTCCTCATCTATAAAGTGAGCTTTTGAGAAAATGGTGCTTGAAGTCCCTTCCCATTCCAACTTGCTAGGACTTGATGATTCCTACTTGGAGATGTCCTTATACTTCCTTTGCATTCAGTAATTGGAAATTCCAGGCACAGGAAGCTCCAAACATGGACAGAAGACATTTTGAACATGGTAAAGCCAGAAAAAGGTTGCTTATAAAACATATTTTTAAGAAGCCTACTCTTATGCACTTCATGGGAACACTAAGTCCCTTACAGAGGCTTACTGTTCAGTTTACTGGCGCCCTTTAAATCTGTGTAGTTTCTAATGCTTGAATTGTTTCCCACAATCAACCACAGATGTTGTTCAGCACCTGACCACAGGTGCATGACTGCATGTATACCTGTACTGCATGACTGTAGTGGAGTTAGCTCAGGCTTTTAAGTGAGACTTTTTATTCTAGTATTAGCTCTAAGATCAAGCTGAGTTATCTTTGGCCAAGTTTCCCTAGAGCCTCAGTTTCCCCTTTTGTGAAATGGGAATAATGGCTACTCCCAACCACTGTTACAAGACCTAGAGAAGCTTGCACATGCCAAAGTCATGCCTGGACCTGCCATGCATCAGGTACTCAATACTGTCCCCAGACTACCCCTCATCAGCCCCATTTGAGACCCACAAACCAAGGAGAAAAGATTTAAACAGTTGCTGACTCCCTCTCACCTGCTGTCCAATTACAACAGAATATAAACCAACATACCCGCACCAGCTTGGCAAATGGCCTGATCACAGAAGTACTGAAGCATCGCACCTTCAAAACAAGAAAACAGACCAAATGAGGTTACTTGAAGGACTTAACCCAACAGTACATTCGACATTTAAATATAACTTGTACATGATTCGTTTTTGACGTTTCTTTGTACCGTCACATTGATTACAGGATGATGAGCTGCTCTTTATTACCAAAGAGTCAATTTCCCCAATAAGAATCAACTCAAGTTGAGAAATCACCTTCTCACTAACTCCCTAGTTTGTTGGGAATGGACTGAGGCTAGCACACAGGTATGAGAAAACACTAACTGTGCTACATTGCTTACTGAAAAAACAAAATGTGTGTGTGTGGGGGTAGGGATGTTTATAAACTCATTGTCTTCAGCAGTGTTTGAATAAAATCCGACATGATATGCAAGAGATGTACCTTCTTTAGGAACCAAATGATATCTCAAAGAATTCTTGGAGCATAAACAGCAGACTGAGTCTGAGCTAAGAACTGGCTCTATTTCTTGTCTCTTAAGGGTCAGAGGTGGAGGGGCAAAGGTCATCTTCAGGGACCCAACTCTGGAGAGTGTCCTACCTGCAAACTAGCAACGGAAACAATGCTGTAATCTGTCTGTCAAGAAATCCAACCTCATGATAAGATGGAGTATCTAAAGCACATTCCCCATCCCGGCCCCCAGCCTCTCTGTGGAAGGATGCTTCCTGAGAACTTCTGTCTCGTTGTCTCTAGAAAAAGGAGAGGTGCTTTACAAATATTCCGTATCACTGCTGGCTACCCCGACAGCGTTTAACACGCCAGTAAAGGAGATGATGATTTTGCAGGTGGCCCACGTTCTTTCTTCGGAATCCAGGGAAGCTGGGCCACTCACTTCTGCGCCCCTCAAGCCAGCTGCTCCCTAGGGCTGGGCTCGGAGGGCGCCAAGGACGCGCACGCGCAGCCCTACACCCACCGTCCCGGGGGAAAAGCGGGGACAGCCGAGCCGCTCCAGGCCGCCGCGTCCCAGACTTGGACCAGCGGCCATGCCCAGCCGTGCCCGGCGCGGAGGGTGGGGAGGGATCCCCCCGTGAGCTTTAGAACCTTCGTTTTCTCACCTGGGAAAGCCGGGTCACTGCTGGGCCAGCCATCTTCCCCCGGACGGCTGTAGGTCAAACCCAAGACAGAAGCGGGAAGGACATGATGGCGCATGCGCGCGTCGGCGTAAGCGCTTGGCCCCATGGGAAATGGAGGCGTAGAGTTTTGAGCGCACGCGTAGCCACGCGTCTCTTGCTGGGAGTTGTAGTCCTTGGAAGGTGGGCAGGAGGCGCTGGGGTCGGTCGTGGAGGCCAGCAGGTGAGGCTAGACTGTTCTGGACAGTACGCCAAAGTGAGAATTCTTGAGTTACTGACCAAGTGGCCCTTTCTTGTAGGATGAATTTACTGTCCCAATTTTAAAAATGTACATTTTAAAATATAGTACGTTTACATTCATCACCAGCATTTTTATCCCTTCTCTCCTACCATTCCAGGTGTGAACACCACTGACTCGGGGTTTGTACCTGGCTTCTATTTCTTCTCCAAGCTGCCCTCCCCCATCTTACCTGGGTATAGCACTGACTTGTTTGTGGGGCCTGGTGAGTTTCTGGTGCCTAGAGTCACGCTTCTGGGTAAAGTAATAAACGTTGGACTGTTAACTGCCAGGTTTTCAAATCCCATGCCTCCCATTCCCCTACCCCCCAGCAGCCGCTCCTGGGGAGAAATAAGAGGCTGTCTGCTCCTCAATGCTTCTCAAAGCCTCAAAGCCTCAGACACCCTATGCCCCTGGCGGTGGGTTTTGTTTGCGTGTGGGTAAGGTAGAGTGATTATCAGAGCGCTGAATTTAAAGGAGAGAACTGAGGCTCAAATAGGGTGATACTGAAACAGAACCCCGTGCTAGCCCCACCTTAGACACTGTCTCCTCATTCATAAAAAGCAACCTGTCTTCAACCCATTTCTCCCCAAACGGCGCTTACTCTACTTTTCCTTCAGTAGGAAAGAATTAGATCGAGGAACACGAGTCAGGGTTCCCTGGGTGTAATAATGGGGTTTTGTAATCAATTATTTAAAAATCACACTCAGCCCTATGCTGCTGCTGCTGCTATAGGTGGCTTTGAGTGGGTTCTGACTCATAGTAACCCGGTGTACGACAGAACGAAATATGCTAGCCTTACAATTGTTCTAAAGTTTGAGCAAGTATGTGGAATTCAGCCAGTTCGCACCAGTTCAGCAGAACCCATACCTAATTTTTTGTTGAGTTCGGCAAACCGGTTGTTAAAGTGGCCCTTGTAATCAGGGTTCTCTCTAAGGTGGGCACCTGGGTAGCCACCCATTGTGGAAATCACAAATTTATAATCCTTACTCTTTTTTAACGTTCATCTGTGCAGCAGGGTATTCTGAGCACCAGCGGTAATGTTCATTCTGTCTATAGATATAAAAAAATTACATGGAACTACGTAATTCAATTCATTGAAATTATTCATTTCATAAAACTCATTATACTTTTGATAAAATACATTTTTCTTCCCTTGTGCTTGTAACTTCAATAAACAAACATGATGTAAAGAGAAAAAGTGCCCAACAAACAGAGGGTACTCGCTGTCACTCCCTTCAGCTTTATGCTATGCCCCAAGTCCCCACAAGATGTTAGGACTGAATTATGCAATTCCTGAAAGTGCTCAAAGAGCTAAAAATATTGTCAGAACAATTGCTGTAAGTTCAGCAGAAGTGGAAATGGGTTTTTCAAAGGTGAACATCATATGTTCAGAGAAGAGAGAGCTTGTTTTTCTAATACATCAAACACAATGACTATTGTCTAATGGGCCTACCTCTAAAGGAATGGGACCCTACTCCTATGGTGAAAAGACGGTGCAGGAGAAATCACACAGCCAATGATGCTTGGATAAAACGGAGACTATTGCAAGTGAGGATGCCAATCAAGAAGTAATATGGAGATAATTTAAATGACTTTTCATTGTTTGGGGTTTTTTCTGGCCAAGTCTTATTTAATATTTTCATTACTATATTAAAATTCTTATAACATAATCTAGGTTGTGAACTTCTTTCAGTGTTCTTAATTAAGTGTAAACTGTATGAACTAATAAACTATCTTTCAGTAAAACTTTTTTTAATCTTAAGGTCCTTAGGGGAGTGGACCGGTTGTTAGATTATTTGAATGCCACTCCTGGTTGAGCCCTTGTTTGCAACCCCTGTGTCAGTCCATGTCTACAGGGTCCTCCTCTTGATGTCCTTTCCCAGGGAGGGACCTCTCCTGACAGCAGAGGTGAAACCACGTATGCCATCCTCACTTCTAAGGAGCATTCTGGTTGTACCTTTTCCCAGAGAGATTGATTCGTTGTTCTGGCAGCCCGTGGTATTTTCAATATTCTTCACTAGCACCATCATTCAAGTGCACCTATTCTTCTTTGGCCTGCCTTATTGAATGCCTAACTTTCACATGAAGATGAAGCTGTATCATGGCTTGGGGCTTAGTCCTTGAAGTGACATCATTGCTCTTTAACCCTTTAAAGAGGTGCTGTGCAACAGACTTGCCCAGTGCAACCTACTGCTTGATTTCTCGATTGCTGCTTCCATGAGCATGGATTATGTATCCCAGCAAAATTAAATCCTTGATGACTTCAATTTTTTCAAAATGTACTTAATGACGTGGGAAACATATTAAATACACAAGGAAAAACTGCAAGCTTCATTCTCTGTGTGTTTTAAGGAGGAGGCATCTGTATTATATGAAAACAACAAGAATGCAGGATCCTACAGATAGGACTATCGGGCCAGCTCCACTACGAGACACTGTGTCCCTCACTGACCCATAGCTCTTCAGGGGACAACACTGGAGACACAGTGTGGGAATTGTGCCTGATCTTACCCCAACACTAAGGGCATGGAACAGCAAGGGGAACAGCAACGAAGTGCCCAGCGAATATCAGAAATAGACTTTGGGGCCAGGGCGAGGCACCCCATCAGACTCAACTGGAAAACACTCCTAAAGATCAACAAACAGACCTTGAACTATTTACAGGCTTTCTTTTTTTGGTCATTTTGTTTTATTTTGTTGATTTGTTTTGCTGTCTTGTTTTTTGTGTATATTATCTCTGCAGGTCTATCTAGATAAGACAGGTGGGATAAACAATCTGTAGGAGAAAACAATGGCCCGATGTTTGGGGGGACATGGGAGAGTGGGAGGCGGGGGAAAGGAAGTGGGTGTTAACAAACCCAGAGACAAGAGAACAACAAATGATCCAAAATCTATGGCGAGCAGGGTGTAGGAGGCCTGGTAGGGCTTGATCAAGGGCAATGTAACTGAGAGGAATTACTGAAACCCAAATAAAGGCTGAGTATGATAGCTGGACAGGAGGAAAGTAAAAGGAAATAGAGGAAAGAACTAGGAGGCAAAGGGCATTTGTAGAGGTCTAAATACAGGCATGTCCATATGTAAATATGTTTATATATGAGGATGGGGAAATAGATCTATGTACATATAGGGTTAGTACTAAGGTAGCAGATGGACATTGGGCCTCTACTTAAGTACTCCCTCAAGGCAAGAACACTTTGTTCTATTAAACTGGCATACCAGGTTGCTCACCTTCCTGACATGATAGCTGAAGACAAAGTTGGTGCATAAGCAAATGTGGTGAAGCAAGCTGATGGTGCCCGGCTATCAAAAGATATCGTGTCTGGGGTCTTAAAGGCTTGAAGGTAAACAAGCAGCCATCTAGCTCAGAAGCAACAAATCCCACATAGAAGAAGCACACCAGCCTGTGCGATCACAAGGTGTCGATGGGATCAAGTATCAGGCATCAAAGAACAAAAAATCATATCACTGTAAATGAGGGGGAGTGCGGAGTGGACACCCAAAGCCCATCTGTAGGCAACTGGACATCCCCTTATAGAAGGGTCATGGGGAAGAGAAGAGCCAGTCAGGGTACAGTATAGCACCGATGAAACATACAACTTTCCTTTAGATCTTTAATGCTTCCTCCCCCTGATTATCATGATCCCAATTCTGCCTTACAAAGCCGGCTAGACCAGAGGATGCACACTGGTACAGATAAGAATTGGAAACACAGGGAATCTGGGACAGACAAACCCCTCAGGATCAATAATGAGAGTATCGATACCAGGAGGGTGGAGGGAAGGTGGGGTAGAAATGGGGAACCGATTACAAGGATCTACATAGAACTCCCTCCCTGGGGGACAAACAACAGAAAAGTGGGTGAAGGGAGACATCAGACAGTATAAGACATGACAAAATAATAATTTATAAATTATCAGGGGTTCGTGAGGGAAGGAGGATGGGGTAGGGAGGGGGAAAATGAGGAGCTGCTACTAAGGGCTCAAGTAGAAAGAAAATGTTTTGAGAATGATGATGGCAACAAATGTGCTTGATACAATGGATGTATTTCTGGATTGTGATAAGTTGTATGAGCCCCCAGTGAAATAATTAAGAAAAAAAAGCAGGATCCTATTGTAAGGGTTTTTGGGGCGTGAAGCGGAATTAAAGGTCCAATTGGTAAAGTTTTAGAAGCAGGCTTTATTGAGAAGCTTGCGGACGGGTTCAATAACTCACGTATTGAGCTAATGAAACCGCGCGAGGGGAATTTCTGGCTGAGTTTTTATATCCCCTGGTGGCAGGCACAGCTGCATACAGGGACTTCAAAGGGAAGCGCTCATTAATTTTATCTATAGGTCCGGGATGGGTGGAATAAACATCTTCAAGGGATGCAGGGAAGTGGTCGTTAATCTTATCTATAGGTACCGGTTAATCTTATCTATAGGTACCGGGGTAGGTGAAGTAAACATCTTCAAAGAACATTCTTTCTCGGGGATATCTGGTTTTCAGCGAGGGGAGGGGAGGCCGATGTGAGGGAGGCCCATGAGAGGTGAGTTCTGAGAACCAAGAAGGTGCCGGATTCAAAATGGAGTCCCTTGTGCCAAGACCAGGTATACCAGACTCTGCCTTATAGTGAAAAGGGGCGGAGTCAGTCTCTTCTGTAGCTGCTTCCTGCTGGTAAAAGGATGACGAGTTCAGGAATGGAAAGGGGGGGAATTTAGGCAGAGTACTGGAATTCCTGGCCCGGCACAGGGCAAAGAGGTTGGTATTGTTGTAACATCATCTGATGGACTGCTAT